TGTGAGGGTTGGAACCCATGATGGAGGCTCGGGCCATGCCCTCGCTAAGCACTGACCAAAGTCCCCGCTTAGCACTGGCCATTACCCCACCGCCAAACAGGTTTCCACCATTCCACACTTTCTTGTTTTGTTCTTCTGACATCATGTATTCGTCATTCAAGTTTCTTGCAAGTTTCTTGGAATATTCAGGAAGCTCTTCCTCTCTCTATATATAGAGGAAGAGCTCGCATGTATGTAGTCTTCACGCACTTCTTAATTCAATATTCGAAACCACACCTTTGAGCTGTTCAAGGTCTGGCCTCTCACATATATCTACGTCTTACGTTCTTAACACGTTTCCTTCCGATCGTACAGTAAGCTATCATTATCTTCTATAATGTAATAGTAGTAGTTCTAGAAGTTCTCAAGTAATTATTTATATTTAAAAGTGTACTGTAGTGATTCCGTGCCCGATCCGCCCATGCCCGCTTCGTACTTCCAGAGTCCTCGGAAGTTTCGCGAACGTATAAACGTATCAGAAAAAAAAACAAATCCAAGTTGTTGACAGACAACAGGAAGGTCTGAGCATGCGGTTGGGTTACGCGCTAGCACAATAGGTTTGTTGATTCTCCACTGCTCCAACTCGTGAAGAGAAAGGAGATTGGTGGGTATTGTTTGTTAAAGCTGTAGGAAGACTATAGATCTATTCATCCCTACTTTAAAATAAATCTAAGATAGGAACACTTTGAAATGGAGAGGAAACAAATAAAATAATTGCTTATAACTTCCCCCCTTTTTTTCCCTCAAAAAGTCCTCCCTTCAACACAACACAACACAACACACTCAACTCAATTCACCCCACGCCCCCATCCCAACCATCAATATATCAACACAATACCCCCCAACCCCAAATCCACCCCCTCACTCACTCACTCACTCACTCACTCACTCACTCACTCACCCACTCACTCATTCCCTCACTCACACACCATAAAATGCCCCACCCACACCACAACCCCTCCAAAAAAGCAAGAAGAAGATGAAGAAGACCATCCATCCGACGGACGCGAGATAGAAAATACGAGGGGAGAATGTTATTTTATCTCAATGATGACTTTGTAGAAGAGGCTTACTTTTATGGGTATGATCTTGTGGCTTGTAGGAGTTCTGTAGGTTGTGGGAGTTCTGCTAGCGCTGAACGAGATGGTGGGGTGGATAGGGGTGAGTGGTATTATGAAGATGATGAAGATGATGAAGATGATGAAGATGATGAAGATGATGAAGATGCTTAATCCAAGAACTCATCTTCATCCGACTTTCCTCAGCAAAACTACCCAGATGATGATCTACTATTCAACGATATCAGGTTTATTGAAACTAGTCTTGATTAAACGCCAGTGAGCTTGAAACACTCCAGGTGTGCTGTAAGATAGTAAGACATATCTCTCGTCTTCAATCCTCCTTCAACTGGCCAGCCTGAAAGGTAAACGGAAGCTCCCCTGAAGTTTATTTACTGTAAACATCATTCATTCATTCATTCAATCAAAAAAAGATCCAGGGCACCTAGTATTGTAATCGAGGATTACACGATTATTCTCTTCCTAACCCAATTTGTTTTAACCCTCACTTACACCACTCATTCATATAAAAAAAGACAAAAGACAAAAAAAAAAAACATCAACACTCAAAGAATCAAAAGTTGCCCCTCATCTCCCCTTTCCCCTTTCCCCCTTCCCCCTTCCCCCCAAAAACACAATATAAATGCCACTTATTCAAAAACCATGTTCCCTCTTACTCTCGTGACTCTCACATTCCATGCATCAAAGTCGAAGTGAGAACATACAACTTACACCATACAAAAAGTAAAAATTGAAGAGAAAGAAGGGAAAGAGGTGCATGTCTAAAGTACTTACAATACACACTCTTCAAACTCCTCACGCTCTTCCAAAACACGAAATACAATAATATTAAGGAATCAATATCCAAAGATTTTTCATTCTATACAGACGCCCTCCGCCTCGCACAGTACACACAGTACCTATCCAATCTAACCCACACACCGACTCCAGATCCCAGAATCAATTCATAGACAAGTGTCAGTGGAGCCTGCTACCACTATACACTGCATCCATCGCATGAACCCGCACCCCCAAAACAGTAAGTCAAGCAAGAAATCCCATCCCAAGGGACTTTAGAATCTGCAGTCGCCCGGCTGCGTGGATTTCCCATCCCATGCATGCATGCATGTCTTTATTTATAAGCAGGTTCGACCTGCAGAATCTATATAGCACCCATGACGAGGGTCCAGGTTACACGGGGAGAATGTAGGCATATTTGATGGAGAAAAATAGAAATAAAAAAATGTTGGCATGGAAACTACTGTATGTATGTGGGATGATTTCAATGGACATCATAAATAGGATTTGCGAACTGAAGGGAATTTCTCCACTTGATTTGGTGGTTGGACTTCCTGCATCAGCACTCCTTCTGCAGTCTTGCATAATTGGTGGCTTGGGAGCGTGCTGCTTGCTTGCATGAAGTATTGGAAGGAGGATGGCACAACAGGAGAAAAAGGAAAATTGCTGGAAGAGGAAACTCGTGGATGGAAAAGTCGGAAAATCACTCGCGGTGATGAGTGGACACAAAGTACTTGCAGATGACAAAATGCTCGATAAAGATGACAGATGCTTGATAATTGTGAACAGAACGCCATGTCCCTTTCCCGTATTACCCATTGATTGAACCTACCTGCAACTCCATCATCCTGAAAAGGAATAAAGGCACCCAACAACTCTCCTTCCGTCCCCCCGCTGCATATCCCTTGCCTCGGGAGCGGACCGCGCCATTCCGGGATGTGTGCCGCTTTGGCGTTGTGTGGGGGGAGGTCTCCGAAGGTCCCAAGTGACGCCCATCATTCATCCAAACCCCGCGCAGTCATCCGCCCACATGCAGCTATTTCCAAGCCAGGTGGTAGAGAACAACCCATGACGACAACCTGTGGCGCCACGTAATGTTTCCGTCCGAATCTCTTCTCCTCCTTCTCCAGGCCACGCCTCATCCTTCTCTCAATGCTCTGCTGGTAGAGCGAGGAAACCGGTGTGAAGGGTCCTGTGCTGGCGGTTGTGAAGGCCCATTTCAAGTACTCCGGGTCGACATCGCTGGACTCGCCAGCAGCTAGTTTCTGTTCGTGGATTTTCCACATCTGGCATCGTTTTCGGCCGATGTCGACGGTGTGTTCGATCAAGATTATGAGGAGCTTGAGATTGGGGAAGAATTGTCGGATGATGGAAGCTTCGCGGTCCATGGTCATGAAACATAGTTCCCGGTTGATTGCGAGTGTCTGTATATTCTTGAAGTAATCCCGCATAGGACTATTCCTCCCTGGGCTTCTCTCGCCCTTCTTCGAGTCCCGGATGTCACTTTCGTACCAGCGATGTCCTGTCGCGCGTCCGTAATTATCGTACCATGTTCGCGCTTTGAGGTGGAGAATATCGTAGTCGAAGCGAATCCACGCCGGCGCAGGCTGACCCTGAGAGTCTGGTTGTTTGGGGTTGCCTCTGCAGGCCTTTAATACTTCTTGACGTGATTCGGAACAGGTGGAGAGGAGAGGTGGGAGATTCTTTATGGTGTAGTGCCAGCGATCTGGTGGGGTATGTAATTCGTCTTCATCTTCGTCTTCTGGGGAGGATGAGTCCCAACTAGGGATCTTTTCCATTTCCACAATGCGCCGCACAGAGATTGCATGGTGCCATATTCGTAGTCGTAATTCGACCGGTAAGTGAGCAAAGTTAGTAAAGGAGCCGTGAGCGGGTGATTGTTGGAAATGTGATGCTTCAGAAATGTTGCGTGTGGAGATGGAGATGCTCATACTCATTCAAGGGGAAGCTGAGAATATATATGGCGGGGTTATCTCGGGGACGGGGCGAGGTCTGGCTACCAGGTAGCGGGATTTCTATTTTGACGACGACGGCAACCTCGGTGGCAGAGCATCAGAACATCATGACCCAAGCGATGCGATGTCCTCGATTCTTTATATCTTGGGTACGCTATCAGCGGCCTCGAATGTAGCCATGTCAATGTCACACTCCCCTCCAGATCCTGATCCTGATCCTGATCCTGCGCCGGCGCCTGCGCGCTGTATCGCTGGTACACTGTACTCCGTCAATGGCAGTGCAGTGTGCAGTCTCCAGACCTGGCCTGGCTCGCTGGACACCCAGACCTGCTGCGGTCCTCTGCGGTGCTCTGCTCTGCTTCTGCCTCCGCCGCTGCATACGATCACGGCCAGTCCCGCTGCAGATATCACCGCATGTACTCCGTACAGGTGACGTTTTGCCGCGACTGGTCCAAAATGGTGCAGTACAGTACAGTACAGTATTCGTGTCGCAGGTGTCCCGGTGCGTTCGTACTTGCCTTCGTACTCCCTCGTCCCGTTCCCATATTGGGATGCTACACGGTGTGTAGGTCGCCGTCCTAAAAGAAGGTAGTCGAGTTTCTGCTGCGCTGCGCTACGCTACAGTACCAAACTTTGCACAAGATGGGAAGCACCTGCATATATGACGAGTCCCTTTCTCACAGGTACATAACCTTACGCCCTACAGATGTATGTCTACATACGTACGAGTTGCCGGTTTTTTGCTTGGGGTGTTGAGATGCGGATTGGTCTCTTTACGGATGGGTATTCCGCTTTGGCATTTTTGCTTTTCCTGCTATTTGTTGGCTGCCGCGCTTTGCGCTGCAGTACGATACCCAGTTCCATCGTAATTAATGCTTGCTATTTTGAGGGGAAACTGCCGAGTTTGTCTTTGGAGGTTGGGTTGAGTATGTCATAAGCTACAACACCGAAACTAGGAGTCCCTCTTTCTACACAAGGCATCTTTCTCAGTTTCTACACGAGGATTAGCGACAAATTATCTTTTTCCCCATTTCCGGGAACGCGGATCCTGAATGTAATACCGATAGACCATGGCCGAGATGCAAGTGCAAGTTGATAATGACGAGCAGTGGCACAACCTTTGCCTTTCGTCTCCCCTTCTCTGGAATCAGCGGCTAAGATGTAGAGCTTGCTCAGGAAAGGATTGAGAGCTTGGAGAAGCATTGCCAGATCATATGCATAGACTCGCATATCTTTCACTCTTCCATTACGAAGATATAAGAGTGAGAATCCACAGCAGACTAAACTTCTGCAGTGCCCTTAGTTCTCGTTAGCATGTCAGATATCAAAAACCACTTTCCAACCCCCTTTCTATTCTATTTCTCACGATAAGTCAGTTTACGGCTCACTTGCATAGGCTATCTAATGCTCAATAAAAACGTCAGTGCGAGAAATATCATTAGTAGCGTTTTAAAGAAGTAATTGACCACTTAGCAGTACTTAGTTAGAGTGGAGTTGACTAAGGCTCGAAAACTCTTGAGTAAAGCAGAGTAGTTAGTAGTTACACTACTGCGTCATTTCAACTACGATTTTTAGAGAAAGGAAATGATTAAAGAAAGTACTTGAATTACAATGAAACTCTTTTCTATGGGTTTGGCTTCGATAAATTGCTTGTTTTCAAATTAGCAAGTGAACAGTAGACACACGTAGGAGGAGATGAATAGAGACCTTTCTACTCGCCGGGGATACCTAATACAGAGATTAGGAGGTGTGAAATAGGAAATATTACCGATATCTAGACTTAATTCCCATTATACTCCAGAGTCTGGAGAACCTTTTCTAGTTTACCGAGTAGAGAAACCTTCGAGAGAAATTTCGGGAGAATTAGTAATCTTATAAATAGAGTTTAAGTATTTACGTTCCATATCGAGAATTTCTTTCATTCCAGACCCCCTACATAGAATGTAACATGGTACATAGAAGATCGTCATCCAACTCAAGCAACAAGCTTGAACATAGACCACATACATCTCAAAAATCCACTTATAATTTGTTCTTATCTGGGTTTGGTCATGTTTTGAAAACATGTAAGCTTCCCATAGAACATCCTATGGTAATTAACTATGTCTTTGTCACCTATAGAATGGGTTACTAATATTATAAATATAGTACATATAGTACGTATACATGCAAAATTGTTGGCAGCGCGAAAATGGCGACTTTGAAGATGGCGAACGAAGGCTGAAAGGGTTAGGTCAACTAAACATAATTTGACGGATTATTTTGGAAAGTCTTCATGGCATGTTCTTCTGAAACATCCCATCTTCATCTATCATCAAAAACGAGCGCAGATTTTGTTGTTTCTACCGAGTTAGTGCTTGGGTTCTGTTGGTATAAGATGGTGAGGTGAGATATTTCAAATTTTGATGGCATATCGGGTGCCGTAAGCGTTATGTGGCAAAGGAACGCAACAGTAACTAAGGGTACGAAACGTGGTCTGGTATTCGTGATGTGTGGTCTGCTACGTGGAATCCGGGCATATATATGTATAGTCTAGATTGTAACGTGATTTAACAAGAGAATAAATTGTAATATACTTACCTATGTATCCAGAGTTTTATTTCTGAGTTGGAGCAATACAATTAAGCAGTAGTTGTAAATAATTCTGTTAGAGAGAGCAAAAAAGAGGGTTTTGTAGGGAACAAAACTGGGAGTAGGAGGAAGAGGTAGTTGAGTGTGTAGATTGTGACTGAAAGCATATATACTTGTACAGAAGGGTGTCGCCTGCTTTGCTATCGTCTGGGGCTCGCAATTATAATTGTGACTTATCCTTTCTTTTGAGTTGCAACGGGTTGTGCGAGAAAGTATCGTCAATGGATATTTGGGAATGAAGCTTTTTTTCATAATCCGTGGCACTTTGGCTTCTGGTCAGACTGTGCTAATATCTGAAAAAGACAGGAATACCATGAATAAGTGGAGATTCCAAGTCTTTTTTAGAACGAGCCTTAGTGATCATTCATGGATTCATCTATACCCTAGTGGGACTTCGTGAAAGAGGGAGGTTGTCTTGATACAATCAATTCCCATTGAAATAGCATCCCATATTTGAATCTATGACTCAAGGACTGAGTTAGTTCCAAAGAGCTTGACCAAATCTTCACCTTGCATTTCTGAAACCAGGTGCAGAACAACTGACCCAACATCAAGATCTATCTCTCTGTCGTGGTAATCTGAAAACGATTGTCACTAGAGAGAAAATGTAAATAACAGCAAGATAGGACACGATAGAGCGGGCTAAAGTCTCTCTCTTAGGCGTGAAAAACATCATAACTTGTGGTCTTTTGATACACCGAAACTAAAAGCGAATTCACCTGCCAAAGGGGCTAAACAAATACTATTAGTATTCATGAAGTTGGAACTTACATATATTTATAACAGGAGATTTCGTATCTCCCCGTCATCGTCAGCCCTTTTCAATACAATTAGTTACAAGACCATTCAGCAACAACAAGAATAACCGGTTGGGGTCGATGAGTGGAAATCACTAAACTTCAAACTCAAAGGGCATCGCTCGGATTTAAACGGATTATCAATCATATACTCCGTAGCCCATGAAAAAATCTTTCTTCGTACTGCTCCGTAAATCCAACAAAACCTTAGTACCCACGAGGGGTCCAAGTAAGGTTTTCTTCCACTCCCTGGAATTACGAAGTACTTTACGGGCCGACCCAAACCAAGCACCGGCCCCCCACTGGCTCCCGAAGCTAGGGGAGGGCTTCCGGTAGAACCGAGCGCGAGATTTACCGAGGATTCCTTGTGCAAATCCGCGTGGTTTTTTTGTTCATCACGTTTGTGACAGTTTGTCGGACTTTTTGTTGATGGAAGCGATTGAGTGGGAGCTGATGATGGAAGGAATGGGGGGGAGTGAGACTGGAGCTGGATTAGTTGAGGATTTTCTGTTAATGGTTGCTTGGAATGAGGTTTTATTTTTTTTACAAGGCTTAACGAGGGGGTCATTTTTAAGAATCTCAATAGGGACCGAAACGACTTTATCTTCGATCTTACCCACATGAATGCCTCTGACGGAAGGGGAGAGAGCAAAGAAATCCCTCTTGAATTATACTCACTGCCTTCGAAATCTTCCCATCAAACCTCGCTTGTTACTACCGAGGGGTCGTCGGCATCATTGCTTCGCCACGCGGCGGGTGTGACCTGCGCGATTTTCAGACAGGGCTGCTGAAAGTTTATTCTGGAAAGATACTTCCGTGGACCGTGGTATTCGAGGCCTTTGAGGGTCTAGACTTGACAGACTGGGCGTACTTCGAAGTAAGGAACAATATGAAGTAGTTGAATTTTGAAACGAGCATGAATCTGGTGTCATGGAATTCATGGGTATTTCATTTTCGCTCCAGTTTCTCCTTCCTTTTGGGGATCTTACTGACAATAATCACAGTCCAAATTACATATAAAAGTTTTACCAAGTTACTTTGGAAGTACTGTTTGATAGGTCATTTTCTCCACTACCCGGAAACGGATTCACTCGCCTACGTATTCCCATCGTATTCCTGACATATAAAATACAGTCTTCATGCAACAACTCACCATTTATTCATGAGAATTAAAACCAACAAATTGTTCGCCCGACGTCTGTATCATATATGCAATTTTGAAGCATTTGGTTGAAGCATTGAGAGCCCCTCCATGACCCACTTATGGCAACCAAGGCCGCGTTCGGGGAGAATCTTTTCACCGCCAAGCTGACTACTGTAGCCACTCATAGCCTTACCGGTGGTACCATTCCAAGAGAAGCTATTCGTACATGATTCATCTTCCGAACTACTTCGTATTAACATCCGTACGACTACCGTCTTCTTCCCAATGAACCTACCGTACTTATTTACAATTCTGGAAAAAACTCAGACTCTTCTTTAACTAGGATTACAGTACCCTGCGAACTTGCTGTGAGAATCAGGCATTCAACATGTGCATATGAAGTATCATATCAATTTTCATGTTCGATGCTATCGATTTTCCTCCGAGAAACTTGGGCGTCTTACAGATAGAAGTGCTATCTGGTCTGGTTTACATATCAAACGTATACGGTAATCCGTTCTTGAGCTCTGATCAAGTTATGAACAAGTAGATACTCGTATATTAAAGTCTCAAGAAAAGCGCCGTTCTCTTGCGTCTCTTCAGAATTCCCCTTCTATGCACAAACCACAAAGTTGTATGAATGCTTTATAAAATAAGCCCTACACCAGACCTCTGAGAAGTCATTCCTCGTACTTGCTCCTTTTGAGTTTGGACGCGTAACTAGGCCCTCGGCTATGAAAAGCCAGTCTTTCCGTAGTTGACCGGCTCTTTCGAAGCGAGGGTTTCTATGGCCGATCCTGCCGTTAATATAACGACGTCCTACTTTATCGGAAGTACATTGGTAACCTACAGACTATTCACCGTGCCGATATGGATATTTCATTCTTCCCAAGAACGAGTATTACTGTATTATAGGTTTTCAGCGCGAATCTCTGTGTTACCTGATATATCTTTATTATACCTCTACGTTTATTACAGTCATCAAAAGAGGAGATCGGTCTCAAACCACATATCATACTTCATGTGGACCAAACTCGGAATTGGATACCCTGGTTCCTGAATACCCTACGTATCCGGAACACACCCGGTAAAAGGGAGGTCCACAAGGATATGAGACCACCCATTCAAAAGTCGTTCAGGAATCAGTTCCAGCCTCATCATGGCTCGTGGGCCCAATTTCGAAACGAGAATTCTGGTGGTATTTCCCCAGTAAGGCCACACTGCGTCCAGACAACCCTTGCGGGGCATCTTTTTTGGTATTTTTCCTTGTCACTGGCGTCGCATCGCGTGCTTGGTGGGCAATATTCCAGCTGAGAATTGGACGGTACCTGAAGTCACTTTAGAGTTTTTGAATAATCAGCAAACAGGCCCCTATAATACAGGGCTCACACGTTTCTCCCTTGCCTTTCTTACGTTCGGGTCAAGTAATGGCTGGACTTCTTTGAACACACTTCTTTAAAACTACATGAACAGCCATTTATCGCATGGTTGCCAATCTGACCAGTGACCTGGCCTCGATCTACATGTTGTAGTGATCTTGTAGCGAGGTTATTTCCACGGTCTAACGTCAATTACACTCTTTTAATAATGTCGACATCTTCAGGCATCCCGGACTATGGTCCATTACTTACGCACATATCATATGGATTTCTGATTCCTACGACACTTATTTACTTCTGGCGCATTGCATCCAGGTTTTCTCTGCGCGATTCTCGATTTGGTTATCACTGGGATGATTTCTTTCTAACTTGTTGTTGGGTATGTGTACCATTCCACTAAGTGATCTTCACCAAGAATTTGTTCCTAATGCGAAGAGTAGGTTTTTGCGGTCACAGGATTGGCCTTTGGCCTGATTTGTTAGTATTATAATCTTGCTCGCCTCTACAAGTACTGACGCATCTAATAGCTGTTCGCTATGGATTTGGAAAGCATATGAAAAGTATACCTATTTCTGACCGACCTCATGCCTTGTTTGTGAGTTGCTTTTCATGAAGCCCATCCACCAGTCATCTAATGCTTCATAGTACTTCTGGCTCTATCAAGTTGAATATAAGGTATGTTTTTGAACTTGACGCCTTGCATAGCAACTGAACGGATCAATGCTGACTCTGACATCTCTATAGTTCCGTCAGTAAGACCATCTCGCCAAGAAAACAGGCGCTAATATAATGCAGAAGTCATGTTTGCGAAACTGGTCGTGCTGAGCTTTTATTGTCGGGTTTTCCGTGCCGACAATGGATTTTATATTCGCACGCTCTGCTTGATTGCGGTCATCATTGCTGCTACAATTGGATTCGTTGTAGCCAACATCATGATGTGCACACCGATAGCACGAGTCTGGGACAGGAGTGTCCCTGGAACTTGTATAAACAATGAAGCATACTGGGTCTCTCACGCAGTCTTCCACATTTTGACTGATGTCATAATATTCTTCATGCCAGTCTTGCCAGTGATGAGGCTAAATATGGACACGAGAAAGAAAATTGCTGTCATAGGGGCGTTTACTCTGGGTTCCATGTAAGCGACATGTTTCGGATCCTCAGCGCCATTTACTGACTATGTGATAGTGTCTGCATTGCAGATGGAGTTCGAATTCAGTACCTCAGAATCTCAGCTAATTCAGGCACGGATACCACTTGTAAGCCTCTCTCTCCATTTCGACCAAAAGATCCTTTGCTAAATGTTACTGTAGATGGAGCTGGTCCTGCCGTGATTTTGACTACCATTGTTAGTCTGACCTCAATAATGTGTCTCTGCCTTGTTACAGGTCTTCGTCGCTCGATTATTGTGTGCTGCCGCAGCATTCGTCAAACTTCGAATTCGCGGAGACCCTCACTGCCATTAACCGATGTCGAAGCCGCACAAGGAACAAGGCCAAGGAAGGAAGCATGGCAACATAGGTCACAGACGATTATCAGGAAAACAGAGAGCGAGGAGTCCATCGTCATGGCAAACGAGAAGCCTGGGAGGCATTCAACCGTGATTGTAAAGAATGTCTCGTACTCGGTTCAAAGCTCGGAAGCTTAACTTCCCGCAATGCACTCTTTTTATATCAAGTTAATAGCAGTCTCAGTTAGAACCGTAATTGCACACGGTTGGTAGTTTTTGTCTTTCTTATATTCTGATACTCTCGGTGCAAGTGAGTAATTCTTAGACAAACATCTCGGCTAAAATGCGGATCCTAAGTCAAATCAAATCTTCGCGATGGGTCTTTTTGAGGAATATATATGAACTGGATAACCATCAGTTCATATTGCTAGATTGTCATCTTACCTTATTAGATGAACCATGCAATGATGCCAGTATGAAGCCTCCAAATTTGACTTGAACTGAGCAAGAAGTTCCATTTATGGCGCCCATGGCATGACACAATGTAGCCATGAAAGAACATTCCACTCGTAGCGACCGACTGGTCTGCTGTAAAGCTTCAACACCATCCCAATAATTACCAATGTAGCCAAATCTACTCTGATGAATGTTACTTGTCATTCGTGATAATCCTTGTTACTACGAAGTAAGTACCTGTGGGTGACTTGTGCTGGATTTTGTGGGGCAATACAACCCTAGCAAGGTTAATTTCAAGTTTTCCCTTTTCTACCCTGTCCAATCCGGAGAACGCACTATACCTGAATTTCAGGGGCTGACATATGTATTTCCAGTCTCGATGAATCGTTGGGAGGCTGGGGTCCAAATTTCAAGACGAAACCCATTATTGTGCCCACGTATGCACCTGAATGAGCTTAGTGCAGTAGTCCGTACCCCTCAACGTGGGTGTATGGAGCCGAGTCCGAGGAAGTATTGATTCCATGCCATGTCTTCTTCACAAAGTCAAGTACTGAGAGTATCTCTCCATGATTTATTTGGAAGTGGTATTCTTCTCATACTCCTTTGTTGGACCATAATCTCAATAATAGAGATTCCATTCATAGACTTTGGTAATGGCTAAATCACTCAATGATCCTGGTTCCCCTTCGCTCGCAGACGAAAAACATTTCAGCAATTATGACGGGCAGGCTGTTGATGGAGGCGAATCTACGCCAGACGGAGATAACCTTGACGACCCGGCCGCAAAGCGAAAGCTTCTGATGAAGCTGGATCTCAGGGTCCTCCCAATCTTTGCCGTACTCTGGTTCTTGACCTTCATCGACCGAGTCAATATCGCGAATGCAAAGGTTCAGGGCATGGAAAAGTCTTTGAATATGAAGGGAAATGACTTCAACGTTGCGCTGGTTGTGAGTTTCTTAGTATCTCGCTATCGTATCCTGGGCTAATTGACTCTCAGGTTTTCTTTGCAACATTCATCGCCTTTGAGGTCCCATTCAACATGGCCTTGGGTGCTAAATTGAAATGGCTTACCCCAGGTTACTTTCTTGGAGCTCAATGTTTGATTTTGGCTATGTTCACCATTGGACAGGGACTAGTGGAAACAAAAGAAGCACTGGTCGTCATGCGGATGTTTGTTGGTCTTTTTGAGGCAGGTATTGTACCCGGCAGTATCTTGATCATGTCCAACTACTATCCTCGATACAATTTACAGTGGCGTATGAGTTTACTTGCGGTCGCCAATGCTTTAGCATCCGCTTTTGGAGGAGTGAGTCCTTCTAGTATAATCTGTTAGTATTATTACTGACCTGTCGATAGCTCATCGCATACGGCATTATTGATATGGATGGGGATCTTGGAAAAAAGAGTTGGAGATGGGTTTTCATCATCGAAGGATCCGTCACTGCTATCTTCTCCGTCCTTGGAATGCTACTCATTGTTGACTGGCCCGAGAAACAGAGCTTTCTTACGGCCGAGGAGACACGCTTAATGAAACATCTTATCGCCAAAGACTGCAACAAATCTGCCAAAATGGATGTCCTCAACAAAGATGCAGTCATTCGATGTATCACTGACTGGAAAATCTGGATTAATGTCTTTATATACATCGGAACCGTCTGTGTTACTTACAGCATCAACCTCTTTGGCCCTACTATCATTGCCGGTCTCAACCCCAAATTCACACCCAAGGATATCCTTCTCCGGACGGCACCGGTCTTTTTGGTCTCTGCTGTCTTCTGCTTGGCAAGCGCCTGGATCTCTGATAAACTCAAGCACAGATCTGGTGTAGTCATAACCGGGTACCTGATTTCCCTAGTAGGATTTTGTATATTTCTTACTGGCAATGGCGTTGTCACACAAGGTGTTCGATATATGGCCATCTACTTTGTTTCCGTCGGCACATTTATCTCTCTTCCAGTTCTCTGGTCGCTTATGGCCAACAACGTGTCTGGGGTGTACAAGGTTGCGTTTGCATCTTCCATGCAAATCGGACTGGGAAGTGCCGGCGGTATCGTGGCAAGTTTTGCGTACCAGACCAAGGACGCTCCTCTATACCACAACGGGCATTATTTCATTTTGTCTCTTATGCTGATGGCGCTTGTTTGTGTTGTTGCATTCGATGCCGGTTTGTTCTTCGAGATGAAAGCTCGAAAGGAAGGGAAAAGAGATGATCGATTGACCAGCCCCGAGGTTGATAATATGGGTGATGATCACCCACATTTCGTTTTCACGTATTAGTCCTGAGGGATACCTGGCTTTCTCTTGTATTTGATCATATTAATTGTTTAGTTTAATAACTTTATCGCACAGTCGTGGCGTATTGTAGTACGGTCACGTGAATATCAAATTGAATAGCTAAGTACAGAGCCTATATTAGCATTCATTTATAGCGTTTGCTAGTTATTCAGATAGAAACCACACATATACCAGGTCTACATATCAATCCTTCGTTTCGCGAGATATACCCGCCAATTCACAGGTGACCTGTTATTAAACCGGAAGTGTCGGTATTTGGACTGAAACAGTATTCAATACTTCCCTCCAATTAGTCTATTCACTTCAATCACTCATTGCTTCCTGGGTAACGTCGTTCGCTAGGAAAGGTTATAGGTGGAATAGAGAGCCACTAGCTTCAAGGTTCGGGGTTTTCTCTATTAATTTCCACATACAGACCGTCAGGGATTATGGTTTTGTAGAATGAGGATTCAGATAGCTGGACCCCGCTACAAAGTCCAAAGTCAAAGAGTGGTACAATTGTAAGAAACTACGACCATGAGCGCCTCTTTACAAGCGGAGAATGCCTCGCCCATCTTCCCCATCTTCCCCTTCCTCCCCTCCTCCCCCTCTATCAAAGTTTGATGTTAAATATTTGTAAAGTCCTCCTCCTCCTCCTCCTGCTCCTCCTCCCCCGCATCTCCCGTGGTATTAGTGGGCTCTCGAGACGTACGAAGATAATAACTCGCGCTCGCTTCGACATTCACCAAGATCCATTCTCTGATCTTTTCCTTTCTCTTGGCCCATTCCTTCTTTTCCTCTTTATTTAATTTCTTTATGTCCGCGAGTCCAACTCAATAGCATCCAGCAAACCGGTCGTCTCAAATATTGCAACGACCTGTTGATATATTTTGTCTACCCTATCGCTGTCAAGGAGGAAGAGGGGGTTATTCGGATTCACATTTGTTTTTTCCAAATCCTGATAGAACACTACCTCCTTATATACCCACTCCCGGAAGCTTTCTCCAGCTGCGGCACCCTCCTTCATAGCAGTAGCTTTTGAAAAGTGTGGTGATGATGGGTAGCGCTTATGAAATCCGTATATCAACATTCCCCTCCGTATATTAATCCTCGTATTGTCGCATTTTTCGACTTTTTGAATGGCCTCTGCCGCCCCCTTCTCGTCATTCCGTCTTAATGCCTCAATTGCTTCATCTAATTGTTCGTCAAGAGATGCCCATCGTGCATCTCGTTTCTCTATTTGATTGTTGCGAAGTACTGCTTTAAAAGCAGATTCCCTCACACGACGATTGTTTTGATTCCACCAATCTTTTAATTCTTTGGTTAGAGGCCCTGGTGGACGGGGTAATCTAGCGGCAGCCCCAACATTATACTCTTTCAAGTCAGGTCCGGCAATCGATTGAGGCGTTATTGATCCTTGGGACTTCGGGATTTCCCCAGCCGGGCGAGTTATACGTACTCCCCATATAAGGGGAATTCGAAACGCGGGCTGACCTATTGCGGGTACATATGCTTGCCAGAACGTCTGCTGCTACATATCCTCCTGGTATTTGGTAGGAATTGGGAAATAGTCTGCATGTGACCCAGCTTCAAAGTTTTCTGGCTTTCTCCATCGCATAGCTATGTAACGTGGCATATAATAATAGTCTGTCCAGTTTGGGTACCTGGGTCCGACAACATGTCCCAAAATCAGTTCCTCTGTCACAAGAAAATTAGTATTGCTTTCTCTTTAACTTTTTGGGGACATTGGAGGGTCGGACTGTATAAAGACGTGCCAGAGGAATGCGGTGAGATTGAGTAGTCCCTGGTATTTAGTATTCACCTAGGGAGGAGTCCTATCACAAGGGAACTAAGACTTACGGTCTCCTGTGTAGAGGGGAAGTCGCGCTCCTCCAAATTGCTACCATATCTTAGCACGTACGTTGAGATGACAAAATTGGGTAGGGATCCATTACAGTATGCTCCCAGCTTCTCCCCAGTTCGCTAGTCTCCTGGTCTTCAAAAAACCAACAGAGTCAAAATTAGATAGAAGAAATCTATTGGTAGCTCCTTACCGGTTCGGGTTCCCAACTCTTTCCTTCACTTCTCATTGATCCCTCTTGATTGTCCGTCCCCTGGAACTCAGGGGGCCCTCCATCATCTAGACTTTTCAAGTCTGGACGCTGTGCATGAGCACTAGCTCCTAGAGCATGCTAAAACAACATTAGAGCAAAAAAGGGAGCAATACGCAACACATTTACCATAGTTTCGTGAACGAGCTAGGCGAATTGTCAGATTTTGTACCTAAGTATTTTGTTCTGACTTACATGAGCCGCTAAAAAGAATCTCTGAACACTTTTTTGTGATTCATGAATACTCAACGACATAACTAAGTTCCTCACTGCTAGTGCGTTAAGATGCATTGTTGTCTCAATCCGTTCTGGTTGCCCTGGATCCTGGACTTTCTTTACATAAGCCCACGCAGACTTCAGGTTACTTTCGTTCCCGAATGAAACTTTTATATCATGGCGGTAGTTCGCAATAGTGTTTGCAATATCATTTTGCGCTTTTTCGAAATTCGACTTGTCTGACCTGTGAAAAACGTAATTGCCGTCGCTTGCTGCACACTCGGGTCCCTGTCGAGTGTCAATTTCCGTTTGTGGGATGTGATCCCTTGGGCCGTGCAAAAGCCCATCCAACCTGGGGATTGTTAGTACAGGTTATTAGTACAGTATATTTAGTATCAGCTAGATAGATAGAATACCATTACCAAACACCCGAAAATTGAGCACTGACTAGCAAGCGTGTTGCTAAACGTAAAACCGGCTCAATGGCTTTCCACACAAGAGGATTATCTACATTCCAATCCCCAAAATAGTCATTTACAGGAATGATCTGGAATGGCTTCTCCTGATACCAGTTCTCTTTTCGATACAAACGATGTATTGGGCATGTAAGATTATTTTTCATGGGGCCGTAAATTCTCTAAACGCAGTATTGTGGTTAGTTTGCTTTTCCCAAGGCATACCGCGGGAAGCAGAAGGGGTAACTCTCTTGCTTTGAAGACGGAAGTATGATAAGACTATTCGAAAATCTAAAACGTACCCAGGCTCCCAAATCATCCAACATTGAGATTGAAAAGCCCTTGAGATGGGTCTTTTGGTACTCAGCCACCTGAGCCACGATCATATCCTCTTCAGGCGAGCCATCAGATGTTGGGCCCGTTGCATCATTCCAAAACGATACGTCATGCCAAGGAGAACAAAATAATACTGGATTTGCAGGTCCTCGAGAAGCCGGCCTCTGAGTCAAATCAATCTCTCCTATACCTCCAACAAGTTTCGTTCTTTTGCTTTCAATATCCCCTCCATCATCACTATCGTCAAGTGGTCTTTTGCTCATTCTGCTGGTCAAAACTGATTTGCGTATGGCAGAAAGAAGTCCAAAATTAAATCAGTGTACGTGTGGAAAATTGTAAATAATATGAAATGAATAACGTGGTTTATCAGCGAGTCGATCATATCACCGAGTCGATCACTTTTCCTTGGCACTACCTCCTCAAACTTCAACACACGTTTTCTTCAACTATTTACCATGGAAATTCAAACTCAAGAAGCGCGAATTACTCTAGCTATCGAGGCTATTCGGTCGTCCAAAAAACTAAGCAAACGCTCTGCGGCAAAGATCTACAATGTACCATATACGACTCTTTCCGACAGAATGGCTGGCCGAACCTACCGCCCAGATTCTCAAGC